GACGCGCCCTCCGGATGCTGCTCGGCCAGCCGGGGGCGGGATGGGACAAAGGCCTTCGGTGCAGGCCGTTCCTGTGCTGTCTGTCGCCCAGAGGTGCGACATGGGAGGTCCTCTCCACTGACGTTTATTAATCACCCCCCCCAAAAAAAAAAACTGCTGTCCCTACCCCAGCAGGCTAGGATTAGGTTAAATCCCGTTTGTTGGGACTTTCGAGTTGACTCATTGTCAAGTGCCGATTTAAGGGACATCTGAGGACCCCATGCCCTGGGACATTGTGTTCCTTCCCTCTCTCCTTCGGTAATCACAGCCTATTAGGGATTAAAAGCCTGGCCTGGTCCAACCTAGGAAACTGGTGGTCGGATGGGGTGAGGGCCTGGCGGCTGCATGGCCCCAGCATCCTTCCCAAGCCCAGTGCTTTGCAGCAATCCGGGAGGGAGACTTTCTAGTTCCTGTAGTGTTGCTGGACCATGGGAGCTCAGCAGCTGTTGGTCTGGAGATCAAGTTTTAGTCCCTACAAAACGGATGAGTAACCTGGGAAGGGTACCTACCCTTAGCTTTAGAACTATCTGCTCTGAACAGGAAAATGGCTCTTGGAAACAGAGTTGCTGCAATCCTAATTTTTATCAGATTTTGGGGAATTCACTTGGGGAAATGCCGGAAGGCAAAGAATCAGACCTGACAGCCTCTTTCTTCCCCTTCACCCGGGCTGCTGACTGCTCTGAACTCTTCTAGGTCCACCTGCGCTCTGTCCCATGATATACACACACCTGTCAACATCCAGGTCATGAAAAACCGCGGGCTTTTTGGCCTCAATGAAGCGCAGCTTCGAATCCTGCTTTTACAGAATGACCCCTGCCTTTTCCCAGAGGTGAGTCTTTGAGAAGCCACTGCCCTACCCACAAGTGTGGCTACGCTTTCTCACTGATCTTTTTCTTTTTTCCAGACAGGGTCTCTTTGTGTAGCTCTGGCTGTCCTAGGACTCGCTCAGCCTACCTCTGCCTCCCAGTGCTGGGCTTAAAGGCATGCCCCACCACCGCCTGGCAGCTCACTGATCTTCTATTTTTCCGGTGTCTGTTTTTTTTTTTTTCCGGGTTTTTTTTTTTTTTTTTTTTTTTTTTTTTTGTTGAGATAGGATCTTACATAGCTCAGGCTGGCAGTGAACTTTTTATTTAGCCCAGGCTACTCTTGTGTTAATCCACCTCCCAAGTGCTGAGTTTACAGGCAGCCACCTCCCATCACCACTTTAGATGTTAATTTTAATTGCTTTAAAGCAGTATGATTTGGTTCTAGACACTTAAAAAGTACTCCCTTTAATTGCTGTAATGGTAAAATTAGCATATTTGTGGAGCTGGAGAGATAGCTCAGTGGTTAAGAGCACTGGCTGCTCTTCTAGAGGACTCAGGTTCAATTCCCAGCACCCACATGGCAGCTCACAAATGTCTGCAACTTCAGTTCCAGGGCATCTGACTCCCTCACACAGACATACATGCAGGCAAAACACCAATGCACATGAAATAAAAATAAATAAATAAAAGTAGCACATTTATTTCTATTTCTGTGAAGAATTTGTTAACAAAATAATAATCTCAAATAAAAATTTATAAGAATGCCAATAAAAGGTTTTTTTGTTTTTTGTTTTTTGTTTTTTTGAGACAGGGTTTTTCTGTGTAGCTTTGGAGGCTGTCCTGGAACTCGCTCTGTATACCAGCCTGGCCTCAAACTCACAGAGATCCGCCTGCCTCTGCCTCCCAAGTGCTAGGATTAAAGGCATGCGCCACCATCACCTGGCCCAATAAATTTTTTTTAATTTGGTATAATCATTCTATCATAGACATTCCTCTCAGAGGCAGGAGGGACAGACATATAGCTCCAGGATGTCCCTCTCTAGCGTGAGGCATTCCCTTATCGTTGGGGGAACACAACTCAGTTATAATCAGATCCCTGGCTTCAATGCAGAAAAGAATTTTAGAGAGAGCTCATATGAATGAAGTAAGACTTATTAATAAATTTTAAAAATTACATGTATTTGCTGGGCAGTGGTGGCACATGTCTTTAATCCCAGTACTTGGGAGGCAGATGCAAGTGGATCTCTGAGTTTGAGGCCAGCCTGCTCTACAAACCCAGTTCCAGGACAGCCAAGGCTACACAGAGAATCTCTGTCTTGAACCACCCACCCCTGTAAAAAGCACAAAGGATAAAAATTAGATGAGTGTGATGGTGCAAACCTGTAATTCTCCAGAAGCTAAGGCAGAAGGATTGAGAGTTTAGGGCCAGCCTGGGCTGCATAGCAAGATCTTGACTTGAAAATGAAGCAAACCACAAAACCAACCCAGACCAAGATAAAACAAAGATAATTTGTGGCAAGGATGCTAAGAACTCTCATACTTTGTTGTTGGTAGGAATATAAATTAGCATAAACATTGTACAATGTGGTGTGGAGGTTCCTCAGAAAAGAAAAAAATAAGCTAGGCTTGGTGGCTTTCTCTTGTTGTCCTAGCACTCAGCTAAGGCAAAAGGATAACCACAGACCTCGTCTCAGAACAAAACATGCAAGGGCTAGAGATGAGGCTCAGCTCCTAGAGTGCTTACCTAGCACGGATAAAGCCCTGAGCTCAAACCCAGCATGGTGTAAAACCCAAGTTTGGAACCACTTCTGAGCCCCCTACCCCATCTCCCTAAAAGGAATACAGGCATGGGCCAGTATGTCCAGTTTTATACAGTGCCAGGGATGAAACCCAGGACTCCATGCATGTTAGACAAGCTCTGAACCAGCACTCACGTTGGGCAGCTTACCTGTAACTTCAGCTCCAAAGGATCTGATGAGTTGGCCTCTGTGAGCACCTGTAATCGCATGCAGAGACCCCTACATAGACTCACATATATACTCATAACTCTTTAAAAAAAAAAAAGACAGGTGTGATGGGATATTCTGTAATCATAATGCTGGGGAGGAGGGGACCCCAGGAGAACCCAGGCCAGGGGCCTGCTGACCAGCCATCCTGTCTGAATCAATGAGCTCTAAGTTCCATGAGAGACTGTGTCTCAACAAATAAAGAGGAGGGTGATTCAAGACAGACAACCCAGTGTTGACCTCTGGCCTCCACATGCTTGTGCACACATATACACCCCTTCCCAAAGACGCCATCAAATTAATTTAGAAGTTACAGTTTGCTGAGCGATGGTGGCACACGCCTTTGATCCCAGCACTCGGGAGGCAGAGGTAGGTGGATCTCTGTGAGTTTGAAGCCAGCCTGGTCTACAAAGCTACACAGAGAAACCCTGTCTTTGAAAAACAAGGAAAAAAAAAAAAGAAGTTACAGTTTATTAGCTTAAAGATAATAGTGAAAACTCATTTCTCAAGCATTGCCTCATTTCTTCCCCAGGTCTGTCTGCTGTACAACAAAGGTGGTGATGTCCTTTATGGCTACTGCAACCTGAAGGATAAATGCAACAAGTTTCACGTGTGCAAATCCTTTGTCCGGGGTGAATGTACACTTCAGACCTGCAAGCGGTCCCACAAGCTCATTCAAGCTACCACCCTGAAGTTGATAGAGGACCAAGAACTGAGTGCTTCAAGTGTGGTGAATTTCCAGATAATCTCTGTCTACAAGCATATGAAGATGCACAAGATGCTTGAAGATAAAGGTAGGCAGAGAACCGTAAGCCAGGAGGTGTGCTAAGGTTCTGCACTATGTAGTGAGGGGCAGTGAACGGCCTGGAAGGGAGGCTGGAGCCAACACTTTGCATTTGCTAACTGAAGCCTTTTCCTTGGGAAGGTTATGACTGTCAACATTTTACCTATTATTATAATTGGGTGTGTGTGCGTGTGCACATGCGCACGCCCACACGCATGGGGGTGGTGTGTGTGCCAGAGGAGACCAGAAGAGGGCGTCAGTTACCTTGGGGGTCTGTGAACCACTTAATGTAGGTGCTGCACTCAGGTCCCTGATTACAGCGGCAAGTGCTGTTAGCCACCGAGCCACCTCTGTAGCCCCAGTTAACGTTTTATGATAAGGAAATAGAATCCTAAGCAAAGGAGAGAAGAAAGTTAGAAAACTTGCCCACGTATTTGAACATGGTAGCTTCTGGGCAAAGTGGGGGTCAATAATTTGGTAGAATCATCTTAATAATTCAGCTGGGAGCGTGGGAGGGACATGGCAGGTGACAGATAATGTCCATGTGGTTTTCTTTTGTAAACTCAAACTAAACTTTTCCTATTTTCATTTGTAAGTAATTTTGACCACATTACAGGCAACAGACTAGAAATAAAGTAGAAATCTCTCAGGAAGGGCTGGAGAGATGGCTGGGTTGTTTAGACTGAAAGACCCCAACTCAAACCCATCCTGACACCCACCAGCATGTGTTTGAAAATCACTCTGGCTACACACACAGCTCTGGGAAAAAGAACACATGAAATGGCCGGTCATGATGACCAGTCTCTGGAAATTGTTATTATTACTAGTTTCCAAGGAATGTTATTATCTTCAACAACTGTCTAGTTTCTAAAAATTGTTGTGCGTTACCCTGCTCCAAAGCACCCAAGTTTTGAAAATAAGTCACTCTGTTCCAGGAAAAACCACTAGCTGTCCCATGGCCTTACAGGTGTAAAAACCAAAATAACATTCCAAACCCCTCGTGGGAAAAATTGTCAGATCTTCAGTTCCCAGCCAATTAGTAAATGACTCATGTATGTTATAGCCAATCAATATGTTGCCACACTCCTGTCTAGTGACCTAAAAGATGTAAAAACTGCTTGCTTTGGAAACTTGCTTTTGCATCGAACTTGTGTCCTGTGAGTGACTCTGTGGGGTGCGTCTCCCGAAGTTGGTCCCTCTTTTGGGCCCAACAAGAGCACTTGTTGTTCTTGCAGAGGACCCAGGTTCGGTTCTCAGCACCCACACAGTGACTCACACCCTAACTCCAGTTCTATGGACTCTGACGTCACTGCATGCATGCCCGTGGCGCACTTACATACATGCAGGCAAAACACTCATACACTTCAAATAAAAGCAAACAATTTTTTTTAAGTTTATCTTAGTCACTGTTCTATTGCTTTGAAGAGACACCATAACCAAGGTGACTCTTATAGAGGAAAACATTTAACTGGGGTCTTGCTCACAGTTTCAGAGGCTTAGTCCATTGTCATTGCAAGAAGCTTGGTGGCAGGCCAGCAGGCATGGGGCTGGGGAAGTGGATATACACCACAAAGTTGCCTTGGGATCCACTTTGTTGTAACTCTACAAGCAAGTGCTGACCCGGGCGTGGGCAAAATGGCATTAGCTTACTAGCTTTTTTCCACCAAATTTAATAACAGAAATATCTGCCACTTAATATTTCTGACTGCTTATTTATTTATCTATTTATTTATTGTTTTGATCTGGTCTACCCCATTCCCTCCCATGTTGCTCCTACCATAAAGTCAAAACAGAAGGCTCATCTCTCTTTTTTCCTTTCAGACAGCACGGCCTCTGCTGAGCACTCACAAGGCAATGAGAAGCAAGGGACCCCTGGGGCTGGGGCTGCAGAAGCCGGGACTCTTTCCTCTGCCCCTGCTCAATTGCCCAAGAAAGCCCAGTAAACCTTACCGAGCATAGAGGAAGTGAGAAGCAGCTTGTCCATTTTGGAGGATCAGAAGCAAGACTTCTCCTGAGCTGGAGTTTGTAGCCATTCTCTTCCCTTACATTGGCAAGTTTAATGCCTGTCTCAGCCCTGAGTGTGAGAACCCGGGATGGAAACGGAAACACACTGGTGGGTGGATCGGCTGCGGACAAAGAGAGGGTAAAATTCTGAACATGGAGGTTCTGTCCAGGGCAGATCCTGAAGGGGCAGTCTGCAGTTCCTGCGTGCCTTTCCAGCCACGGGATGGAGCAGGTTCCTGCTGCCTTCTCCGTCTGCTGGCTCCATTCTAGACCCCATTCACACAGCTTACATTGTAGACAACACAGAGTTTGCACACTCTGTGTATTACTTGTTACTTGGGTTTATATATAATCCCTTTTCCGCAGAATTGTTTATGTAGTTAAATTATCTTCCTCATTTTGAAATATCTCATTTTGTATCAGGTGCATTTGTGTCTCGTTTTGTATTGAGTTTGGAAGCCGTTTCATGCCTTTGCTTGGCTTGCAGGTGCTCCACGATACTATCTTTTGCTGCACATTTCTTTAAATGTCTGTGTGGATGAGCGGTCTCTTCTGCCTCTGCTTCGTGTGTATCTAGATTTTGTGAATTTTCTGTTTGTTGCTGGGGTCCTCTGTGCCGTCATCCATACTGTGTTCATGATATTCAACTTTATGGGTCCATCTCCAGTCAGTATCATAGTTAATAATCTTTGGGCTCTCACCAGAGTTTCCTACCTCACCCCCACCTCCTCTCATCTCTTACTGAGCCTTCCAGAGCTCAGTTGCTGTCTCCTGAAGGATGTGTAGTTCACTCCTTCCTCCAGTTCTGTCTGTCTCTTCTGTGGATGGGGACAGACCATCGGGGAGATAAATATCTCCATTTCAAGGTCACTCCCTTCATCCTCCAGCCTCTCAGTCCCCACTCATTGTACCGATTTCATCATGTGATTTGCAGATATTTGTTGTGGTCATGTACCTCAGTATCATTGTGTAAAGAGAAGGGTTTGTGTTTCCATAATATGACATTTGAAAAATAGGGCAACTTAGTGAGTTCCCATAACGTCAAACTTACCTTATTTAGAGAAACTTTTTTTTCTTTTATTTTCCTTACAGTGCTAAGGATCAAAGCCAGGACCTCATGCGTGCTTAGAAAGTGATATATTTTTCAGCACACCATTCTTTTTTCTCTTTTTTAAAATTAATTTATTTTTTATGTTCCAATCCCAGTTCCCCCTCCCTCTTCTCCTCCTGCCCCCCTCCCCTCCCCCTCCCATCTGCTCCATGGAGAGTCTACTATGTCTGTCCCCTCATCTCACTGAGGCAGGACCAAGGCACCTCTCTACCCCCACCCCTATGTCTAGGCTGGACAAGGTATCTATTTAGAGAAATTTTTATGATGAGGCCAAGGAGAGGCGGGTTGCAAAAATGTCCTTTCCAAATGAAAACTCGGTTTCTTCCTAATGGACAGTAAACTCATCAACTTAGGTCTTTGAGCTTTGGTTGCCAATGACAGTATTTCCCAAATTGTGTTTTACATTCTCTCTTTCTTTTTAAGTTTCTAGTTGTGACTTTTTTCCTAGTGATATTTGTTGTGTTTGTGTGCTAGGATCAAATCCAGCGTCTTGCCCATGTGAGCTTTAGTCCTGGGGCTAAACTTTAAAAAAAAAAGAACAAAACATTAGGTCTGTCACAGTAGTATATGCCTTTAATCCCAGCACTATGGAAGGAGAGTCAGGCAACTCTCTCTAACTTCAAGGCTAACCTGATCTACATAGTGAGTTCCAGGCTAGCCAGAGCTACATAGTGAGACCCTGTCTCAAAAATAAGTTACACTTTTTTTTATTTATTTTTTTTTGAGACAGGGTTTCTCTGTTTTGCTTTGGAGGCTGTCCTGGAACTCAGCTCGCTCAGTATACCAGGCTGGCCTCGAACTCACAGAGATCTGCCTGTCTCTGCCTCTGCCTTCCCGAGTGCTGGGATTAAAGGCATGCGCCACCAACACCCTGGTAGAAGTTGCACTTCTTACTATTATTTTACAAAGTATTATTATAAATTACAAAGTATTATTCATACTTTGTCATTCTCCTAAGTCCTTAATGGCATGGAATAATTAGCTCAGTGCACACCCTTTACATTGATAGACATGGTGGACACTTCCGTTACTGTTTTCTCATATGTATCACCATTGTGCTCTTATAGGTGATGTTTATTGCTCTGTAATCATTGTTGGAACGTTTTATTCAAGTCTATAATATTCCATTTTAATTTAGTTCTCTTGGAATTTAGTCTACACAATTGTCTTTTTGTGCGTATGTGTGATGATACTGGGAATTTAGTCTACACAACTGTCTTTTTGTGTGTATGTGTGATACTGGGAATTTAGTCTACACAACTGGGCACTCTGCCTGGGCCAGATGATGCACAATCATGGCCTTGTGCTGAGGTGTTTGTCACTTCTTCAAGTCTCAGAATCTGATCAGTATTTCCTTGGGATTTACTTTTCAATTTAGTTCCACAGCACACAGCTGGAGGCAGAAGAATCAAGAGTTCAAGGCCACCAGGAGGTGGCAGTGTGCATCTTTAATCCCTGCAGAAGCAGGTGGCTCTCTGAGTCTGAGGCCAGCCTGGTCTGCAGCGGGAGTTCCAGGACAGCTAAGACTGCTACACAGAGAAACCCTGTCTTGGGGAAAAAAAGAAGTTCAGGGCCAGATTTCATAACACAGTGAGTTAGAGGTAGAGATCTGCCTGGCTGCTAGAAACCCTGTCTCACCGGGTGTTGGTGCCGCACACCTTTAATCCCAGCACTCGGGAAAGCAGAGGCAGGCAGATCTCTGTAAATTCGAGGCCAGCCTGCTCTACAGAGAGAGTACCAGTATAGGCTCTAAAGCTACACAGAGAAACCTTGTCTAGAAGAAAAGAAAGAAAGAAAAAAAGAAAGAAAGAAAGAAAGAAAGAAAGAAACCCTGTCTCAAAAGACAAACAACACATGGACGTGAAAATTTCAACCAACTTGAAATTTTTGGATTTTTTTTTTTTTTTTTGAGGCAGGGTCTTATGTATGTATCCTAGGCTGGTCTTGAATTTACTTGAATTTACTGTGTGGCTTTCATTCCCTTCTCCACCTCCAGGGTGCTGACGTCACTGGTGTTTACTACCACGTCCCACTTATGTAGTGCTTTGTATTGAAGACAGGACTTCATCATGCTAACTAAGCACTCCGCCAACGTAGGCACCTACATCCCCAGGCCCAGCCCTGGACTCTGTGTTTAAATGACGTCGCCTCTTCTGTAAATTCCATCCCTACTTCCCTCTGCCTGTCCAGAGCCCAGCAAAATTATAATCATTAAGATACTGAGTCGCCCTTACAGACCTGGGATGGGTGGTTCACAGACCCCCTCACATTCCGAAGCTTTGGTTTTGAGCAAAAAACGTTTGTTCCTCATGGTAATTCTGACACATAGAACTTAGGATTTTTTTTGTCAAATACTGAATCAGTTTGTCAGTATATGCTGGTCTTCATTGGTTTTGTTGTTATTGTTTGCTTGTTTTGTTTACTTTTTTATCTTTTAAATCAGGATCTCACTGTAGCTCTGGCAGGCCTGGACCTCATTATATAGACCAGGTAGTCCCCAAGCCCACAGAGATCTGCTGGGATAAAGGGATGCATCTCCACACTTGGCTCAGGTCCTTCACTTAAAAAAACAAAACAAAACAAAATTTATTAGGCAGTGGTGGCACATGCCTTTAATCCCAGCACTCGGGAGGCAGAGGCAGGTGAATCTCTGTGAGTTCGAGGCCAGCCTGGTCTACAGAGCAAGTGCCAGGACAGGCACCAAAGCTACACAGAGAAATCCTGTTTCGAGAAAAAAATAAATCTGAATATAAAATCATAGCTACAAAGTGATTTGTTATGTAGCTCTATCATCTGATGTTACAGACAAACAAAATATTTTTGATAGCTCCTCATTAAATATAGTTAGTTGTTAGTTTTAAATTCTTTATTAGGATAAGAGAAATACTCTATTCTTTTTTTGTTCATTTGTTTTTCAACACAGGTTTCTTTGTGTAGCCCTGGCTGTCCTGGAACTCACATTGTAGACCAGGCTGCCCTGGAACTCACAGAGATCCACCTGCCTCTGCCTCCCAAGTGCTGGGATTAAAGACCAATGAAATTCTCTATTCTTATTTCCTGGAAGCTTGAAAGCTTGATATGATTCAATCTCTTAATGTGTAATATTTTAATCACTTGCATAATTGATTGTATTAAATATTTTTATAATATTAAAACATCCTTAAATTCTGTGATAAGTTCTGCCTGATTATGGCATATATTCTTCTAGTGTCATTGTTTCTATTTGCTATGCATCAATTCATTCATAAATAAAATTCGTTTATATTTTGTGGCATATATAGTGATTTTCTTTTTAATTTTATTGGTATATAGTCAAAGTATAAACATTTACAGCTTCTGTAAATTGCTTCATGATTTATTTATTTGCCATTTTTATTCAGGGCCTCACTCTGTAGCCCAGGGTGGCCTGAAATCCCCGATCCTCCTGCCTTAAATTCCCAGGTCCTGGGATTTTACAGGTATAAGCTATCACTCCAAGCTTCATTTTCATTTTGAAATTTATTTAATTTTAGCTGGCTCAAGCCTTTAATCCTAGCACTCCAGAGGCAGAGGCAGGTGGATCTCTGTGAGTTTGAGGCCAGCCTGGTCTACAGAGTGAGTGCCACCTAGAGCTGCAACACAGAGAAACCCTGTCTCAAAAACAAAGCAAAACAAAATTTTATTGTATGTGTATGAGTAGTTTCATGCGTTTATGTGCACCACATACATTTAGGTGACCACAGAAGCTAGAAGAGAGCACTGGATCCCCTGGAACTGGAGTTACACATGGCTGTGAGCCACTGTGTGGATGCTGGGAGCCACCTTGAGTTTTGTACAAGAGCAGCAAGTGCTCTTCACCATTGAGGCATCTCTGCAGTGTCCAAAGGTGTGGTTTTAGGAATCGGATTAGCTCTGAGGACTCTGGCCTCCTGAATGTATTCATACATTTATGTATTCTAAGCGTCAGGGGCTGTGGGGAGATGGTGGGAACTGAGAACTGGGCCACAGTTGGAGGATGTGCCCTTGAAGGTCGAGTTATGTCCCTTCTTCCTTCCTCTCATTCTTTTCTCTCAGTTTCTTGACTGCCATGAGTGGAGCAGCTTTGTCCCACCTCACCACAGGTCCGGAAACAGCAAGGCCAAGTGGCCATGGATTGAAACCTTTGAATGTGAACTAAATCCTCCCAGCTGATTTCCTTGTCTATTTGTTACAGGATGGAAAGTTAGTCGGTGAAATGCAGATGCATCGTGAAAGTCAGAGTCAGCCAGAATACCACTGTATAAAGACAGCCATGCTGGCTGATGAGACGGCTCAATGGGCAAGGTCACCACCAAGCCTGAGTGATTCCCAGAGCCCACAAGATGGAAGGAAAGGTCTGTTCTGCAAGCTGCCTTTTGACCTCCGTATACACACACACATAGGCAGTACACGGTAAAAAGAGAGAGGGATAATCGTTGCTAATTTGTTAAGTATTCGTAGCTCTTCTCATATGTCTACTCTTTGATGTCGGGGCTGTATTCGTCTATTTTGGATGTTATAAGCAGTTTTCTGTATCATCAGACGCATTTGAAGTCTTATCAGATGGTTGTATTGCACCTGTGTGTGTGTGATGTAATCGTAGTTCTATTGTTGGATGTTTACGGTTTGCATCATTTTTGTCTTACGTAAGTGCCTATACTTGTTATTTTCTTACAACACATTTCTAGGTGTACACAGATCGTGCCCAATGATAGTGGCTATCATAAAGACTAACAGAGAATCTCAGAATTGCCTTCCAGAGTAGCTATGGCAGTTTCTGCTCCTCATGGGCATGGAGTGTGCCTGTCTCAGGTCTCTCTGAAGGGTGCTGTTAGCATATTCTCATGAAAGACATAGTGCATTTTGTTTGCTACATAGTTGTTCAGGATGGTATATGTCACATATAATACAATATATGCATTTTTCTTCTATGGTAATTATCTTTCCTTCTGTAAAAGTCAACGAAGTGTTTAAATGTTGAAAAAGTTACACAAC